TGGGACCAAAAAGTTATGTAATGGGATCCTCTATGTTAAAACATTTGAGAAACACTGCTCTAGACCAACCATTCTCAAACACAGTTCTGTGGAGCCCGAAGGGTCCATCAAAGATTGCAGGTGGTTCCTTCAGCAGTGGCAGATGGATCTCCCACCTGATGTAACCTAAATGCTGCAGTTTCAGGGCTAATATCGCTCTTGACTCTCAAATAGTAACCTCTGACACCAATGATTTTTGTTAGCTATCTGTAAGGGGGTGTTTTTCCCATTAACCCCCTAATGTAAAAAGGTACTTCTTAAGTTGGGGTTCCAAAAAGCCTGAACATTATTGCAAGGATAAGAAGGCTGGAAAAGGCTGCTCTAAGGTAATCCTTACAAAATGTATAGATATTACTGCTACAAGTGCTGGTGTTTAAAATAACCCTAGTTCCTTCCAGGAAATACATAATCACATGACTTCCTGTTTTATACAAAATACCACACAAAAAATATATTAGCTGACAAAAATGTCCGGAAATGCCTTTCAAAACCCTCGTGGCTACTCAGGCATTTCCATGTTAATGAACCACTATCATGAAAAATATTATGTTGTGATAACGATATGGTGTAAAAACATGGATTAATAGTTTTCAATACACTTAGTCAGTATGTCAAATCTTCATTTGTACTTTTCCTATACATTTTCATGACCAAGCTTTTAAGAAAAAAATAGACAGATACAATGCTTCAAATAAACTATAACACTGGAAGATGAGCTTTTAATGGTCACCAAGAGAAAACAAGTAATCAAGCAGGAATGCGCGAAGGTAAAAAAAAAATGAAGTGAAGGGCAGACATGACAAGCATTAAAAGGGATACAAAAAACTAGAATGGTTTTGCAAGTTGCTGAAGCCTACCTGATTGGGTGACGTTATGGCTGGGAGGGGTCTAGGCAACTTAAGAAGGCTGGAGAGCCCTAGGCGTCCAGTGGATTTCAGCGGACAAAGAAAAAATGTTCTCCACAACCTCCCTGTGTTTTTGTTTCTATGGTACAGTGGATATCATAGCAGCCTGGCAGTTTTGGTCTTTGGAGAAAATTTAGGCTAATAGAAAGGTTTGGGACCAATGGGGTGCATTCCTGGCTAAAAATATGGAAAATGGAGGTCACTGTGGATAGTGAGCTTTGTCCCCGATCCAGTGTGTTGTGGCTGGGGGCCTATTACTATTAAAGAATATGCATTAAATGATGTGATTGATGCTTTCAAAGTCCAACAAGCTTGGTTTGTTTCTATTTTAAGGAATGTTTGTGTTATTTAATTTGATTTGTTTATAAAAGGTTGTGATGGCTGTGTTTAACTCCAAACTTTGGTGTGGTCTCATTTTATTTATGTAAGGGGCTGAGTTTTGGGGTGATGGTGTAGCAGGTAACTGTCAGAGTTGGGGACATCTATTCTACACTAGCCAGGTGGTTTATACTCTACGAAGCCAAATCTAGACTTAATTTGCCAATTCAAAAAGCAATAGACAAAAAAAAAAATTTATACTTACCCTTCCTTCCACCCACATCACCGATCTTCACTCTTTTCAAGAGCTATGACAAAGGCACCTGAAGAATGTTCAGCTTGATGCTTCTCGGTGTGTGGGTTCCCTTGTCCCCCACTGAGCATTCTGGTTCCATACACCAGCCCCTACATCACTACTGTGTCCTCTGCTAATGTAGGGAACAAAAGAGCAAACTACAGAGTACAGCAGGGAACCAGATATTTAATACACATGGTATTTTTGGTTTTGAAGGCTCTTTGGGTGCTGTAGCTCATCAAGAGTGTGAAGATTTGGTAGTGAACCAACCACTCTGCACTGCACCCATGAAAGCGCCAATGACCTTATTTTTAAAAAAGAAAGATCTGTATACCTACAATTTTTCCAGGTGTTTTCAGTCCAGCGACATCACAAGACAGCATAACCCTTTTCCTCCAGTGGTGGGCAGATTCAAAATTGTGTAGTAAGCATTGCTATGTAGTGGTATGGCTCAGTTTTCTACAGCATCCTGTGAGTCCAGGGGGGGGGGGGGGGGCCTTATGTGTCATTCAACCTGGAAGAAGACCTTCACTTTGTCCTGAACTGATGATGACCATAATCAAGGTTAGGGCCTGTGCACAAAAATGTATGTTTGTGTCAGAAATGCTTCTTCCACAACACAAGTCAATGGGAAAGCTTTTTTGAGCTTAGAAGGCCAACTGCAGGTCAATTTTATCTGTGATGGAACTCAAAAGTGTGTCAAACTGATCTAAAAAATAAGATAAGTGTACCTTAAAGCTTGCTGTGTTTGTCTACACAGGTTAATTGTTTACACGTTAATTGCAATCCATTCTTAGTGTCTCAGTTCACTCCCAAACACCATCTTACATAAATATTGTCTGTGCTCCAGGCACCCTCCACCCATTGGTATTTCAAAATGGAATGGAGGCATCTCATCAGCTTGTGGATATGGAGCAAAGTTGATCTTTATATCTTACACATGCCCCAAGTTTGGATACCAGTATGGAGCACTACTACAATTTCATAAGCTTGTGGTGCCTACTATCGCAGTGTCACTAGTTTATGCATGATTTCATAGTGATATGCAAGGCCTGCTTCCTCTTCCAATATGGCTGGCAGTCACAATACCATTGACTTCAGGGCTCTTCCTAATCTCAAATTTTCACAGACCCAAACTTGCAACTCTTAAAATATTCTATCAGCACAAGCACACTCACTGGAGGGGAGTTCCTTCCTCCACGATAAGCCTTCAGAATGCATAGCCTGGCTTCTTCCATTTCCCTTAAAATACACAACACAGGGACCCTAGGCCCCAAATCACCTGAGCAGAGCCCATGGATGTATGACTCAGCACTCACATTTTACCTCTTCCTAAAAGACATGACGGTGGACACCAGGCACACCATTTCTCACTACACAGACAGTGCCCACTTCGGCGCTGAGCACCTTTTCTCCTTTAATTCCCCCAGCCCAAAAAAGAAGAGTGTGCACTTGGTTAAAAGAAACGTTTAGTTTTACTCCAGAACAGTATATCATTTCAGTATCAAACTTAAACTTTCCAGCACAGCAGTACAACACGGTTTATCTAATAAGGGCAACTCTGGTGCTCAATTATGTTTTCCCCCATATGTGGAGGACATCTACTCCCACATGGAACATTGTGCAGTCCCTTTCCTAGTTCATTTTAACAGGGAAGTATTCTCCACTCACTCTTCGAGCCAAACGTCCCTGCCTTAGCTCCTCCCAACTGTCTATTTATTTTCTATCCTCAAGGGCCTAAAGTGACCTGTTGGTTAAGAGGTAACCAAAAGCTGGGATCTCCTCTAAAATGGTCCTACAGACAGGTGTACTTAGAAGCATATATGTGACACATATTTTTCTCTGGGTGTCCATCCTGATTTTATACAGTATCTTTGGAAGACAAAAGCACACATGGAGGGGTCTCTGCCCCCTCCTCACTAGCTTTAGGAGCTATGCATATCTTCTAACATTTTGAATTCTGAGTTTTCTGATCTGTATGCTTTTACAGCCTTAAGACATACCTTCTTTGTCCTCTTCAGATAGTCAGGTGTTACTTGTTCTATGAGTCAGCTACATCATCCTTCATATCAGTCTTGTGAAATTTGTCCTCCTAGAATTCAACTGGGTTATTTGATTTCCCCACATCTCCTTCTCACATCAAGCAGGGATCACTTGTCCTATGAGTCAACAAGGTCATTCATAATGTTATTCAAATACTTCTTGTCCTCATAAATGTCAACTTGGTTGTTTGTTCTTCATGCATCTCCTCAAATTAGTCAGCCTCATGCGAGTCAGCTAGGTCTTTGCGGGGTTGGATTTACATTCCTCTAGCTCAACAATCTTGTGGTGTCCTCCACCCCTACACTAGTCAACTGGCAGGCCTTAGTATTACCCCTAGAATTGACAAATAGAAGGGTAGAGCAAACTGTGTGATGTGTGGGGTGGCTGTATGGTGTCCCTAGCAGAGAGTATCGTCCTAGGTCGTAACCGATGTTGGCTATGCAGAAATCTAACTCTAGACAAATGTCCTCCTCATAGTTATCCAGGTCATTTATCCTCCATGCATCTCACGTTCACATTGGTCAGCTATTACTTTTCACCCGTCCCCCTAATACAAGTCAGCTAGGTCTTCACTTTCCAGCAGGTGCCCAGTCTAAGCAGAGATATGCGTGTTTCTTCTCGTTTCAAATTGTGCACCTTCATGTAGTTGTCTATTGTGAGTTAGCTAGCATGGCTGCCCTAGCCGGAGGGGAAGGGGTTAATGTCTTTTGCCACTATTCCCCTTCTAAATTCACTGGCGTTTTGGGTCCAACTCATCGGTCCTGTGCTTTTATAAAAGGGACAAAAGGGACAGGTTTCTGGATCCCAGGATCTAGCCTTGCCTTGCTGAGCCCTGAGTTCCAGAGAGCTGCTGCGTAAGGAAGACGTTAACTCATCGGTCCTGTGCTTTTATAAAAGGGACAGGTTTCTGGATCCCAGGATCTAGCCTTGCCTTGCTGAGCCCTGAGTTCCAGAGAGCTGCTGCGTAAGGAAGACGTTAACTTATTGGGACGCCAGCATCTTGGATACCGCCACTATGGACTTTGCCTATGTGGATTCTGCCTGTGCAGGTATGCTGAGGCAGCCATATTTAGAATCAAATTTAGTTAGGGAAAGGGTGCTCTGCTCTGTTGTAGCTGTTATGCTAAGTTTAAGTAAAGCCGTGAAACATTGTTGTGTGTCTATAGGTGGTAGAAATAAATAGGGGCTTTTCTCCAGCAAGAGTGGGAAACCCTTGCTGGAGCAGAAGTGAGACTCTAAGACAGCCGTGCTCAGCCTTTTGAACACAGAGGAACTGTTTCAGGTCTCAGGGAACCCCTGCTAATAACTGCAAATACTACAGCTCACAGTACATTAGCATGCTGGTCAGTGGAAAGAATGCTTCCTCCATTAGTGGGCATTGGAAAGAATGCTCATTACATTGGTGGTCAGTGGGAAGAATGCTCCTTACATTGGTGGTCAGTGGGAGGAATGCTCCTTACATTGGTGGCTAGTGGAAAAGGATGCACCTTACATTGGTGGTCATTGGGAAGAATGCTCCTTACATTGGTAGTAAGTGGGAAGAATGCTCCTTATATTGGTGATCAAGGGGAAGAATACTCATTACATTGGAGGTCAGGGGGAAGAATGTCCCTTACATTGGTGATCACTGGGAAGAATAATCCTTACATTGGTGGTCAGTGGGAAGAAGGCTCCTTACATTGATGGTTAGTTGGAAGAATGACCCTTACATGGATGGTCAGTGGGAAGAATGCTCCTTAGATTTTTGGACAGTGGGAAGAACAGTTCTTACATTGGTGGTCAGGGGGAAAAATGCTCCTTACATTGGTGGTCAGGGGGAAGAATGCTCTTTACATTGGTGGTCAGTGAGAAGAATGATTGTTACATTGGTAGTCAGTGGGAAAAATTCTCCTTACATTGGTGGTCAGTGGGAGGAATGCTCGTTACTTTGGTGTTCAGTGGAAACAATGCTTCTTCCATTGGTGGTCAGTGGGAGGGATAGTTCTGACATTAGTAGTTAGTGGGAAAAACACTCTATATATTGGTGGTCATTGGGAAAAATGCTTCTTCCATTGGTGCTCAGTGGGGAGAATACTCCCCTTTCCGATAGCTGAAAAGATCATTAGTGTCAGTGGATATTTGAGAGGCAGAAATTGCTCAAGGAACCCCAAGCAACCTCTGGAGGAACCTTAGTTGTAGAAAGACCTCTCTAAAGGTATGTGAGGACACAGCCAAGAACTAAGGCAAGGAAATCTTGCCCAAAAGATAGGAGATACCAATTGGCAAATTGTTTTATTGACCTCTTCTTACTTTAGAAGACATCTCACTTTTCCATTAGACCTCAATGGTTCTTTAAATGTGAAGGTTTTGCTTTTGTGTAAAATTTTGACATAGGCAAACAGCATGCTTCAAAGTCCCCTCTGTCTATGTAATGATTTATAGAGGCAGCCATGGTATTTGGTGAATTATTAGGATTAGGTGAATGTATATATAGTTCAGCTATGAAAACAATGACACTGATGCAGTATCGGATACCATTCAGAATAACATCAACCTTGAAGATAGGATTACATTTAGGATTGAGTTTGGTAGGTGAAATGTTCTGTTCACATTTAACTCATAGAGTTCAGTCCCATATACTTATGTCCCTGGGTTTCCTTTACCATGTCCTATGACAAAATAATAGCATGTGATTCGATCTTTTAGCATAAATATGTAATAAATCCAAAACACTATGGACACCTCTCTGGACCCCACATAGCGCACTGACGCCCCCTGCTGCTGGTGTAGTGGTCCACACACCATACACTGCAATAAACTGCCTTGGAGTGAGTATTCATCATAATGCTTGCAGTGGCAAGTGGTCATTGGTCTGCACAGTCATCTGAATGTACTATCCAATGAGAATCCTGTCTGTAGCTCCTTCTTACAGTAAGATGTCCCAGATGATAAAAGCACGTTTTATTGGCCAGTACGGTCACATGGCTGCGCTAACCAGTAAGCACTTGCCATTGGCAGCATTATTATGGGTGTTCACTTTGGAGCTGTGTATTGCAGTGTACGGACCGTACACCAGCCGCAGGGGGCATCATGGCCAATATGTGCAGTGGGGTCTGAAGGGGTGTCTGGGACATTTGGAATTAGTTCAACTTTTCCTTTTTTGTGAAAAGATAAATTTACCCTTATAACAAGAAAAAAAAAAAACAAAAACAATAAAATAAGTGATGGCAGAAAAATAATAGCTAAGGGGAGAAGGGAAGGAAGAGATTAATAAGGGTTGATTATGGTTATTATGGGTTTATAGGGGGTTTATTAAGTGCAGTTTTAGAAAATAGATTTTTTTTTAAATTTACCAAGTTGCTTTAAAAGCGGTATTAAACCCAAAACCATAAAAAGTAATATATTGCAAATGACCATTGTGGTGGCTGCATTCGTTTTCTTATTTTTTAGGCTTTTTTCCCCATTTTCACATGGTGATCTGGCCAGTAACACACTTCCTGTATCACAGCATCACCCCCCCCCCCACACACACACACTCTGGATGAAAGAGCACAGGAGGCACACTTGAACAGCAGCATTGTCACTCTTGGGGGGAAGGTAGTGTTAGATGTACTAGTAGGTTTAGATACATTAACAAATTGAAGCCAAGCTCCATCGAACACTTTATAAACACTTAGAGCAAACAGTTTTTTCGTTGTGGGATAAAGGTTTTACATGAATAAATAAAAACTGATCATTGTAGGCACCCCTGTCCATGGTACATGGTTTGTTCAATGTGACAAAGGCCCGGTAGGTGAGGCAAAACACATCAGAAGGCGTGGCCAGTATGGCGGCTGAGGCCATTTCCCAACCTTGGACTGCTGGGGTCCATCCCTTCACTTGTATTGGCTGATACTAGAATCGCTCGGACTCATACTCCCCTCTTCTTACTTGCCGGTGAGGTGATCCTTTTCCTTCCGTCCATAGCTTCGAGCCATAAGGTATATTTTTCACATGGCTTGTCTGTTGAAAAACAGCAGACTTACTGGCCAGATCACAAAGAAAGAGAGCATAAAAAAGAAAACTAATGCATCTGCCACATCTTGGATTTGGTAAGCCTCAATATAATAAATGTTAGCTTTTGAGTTTAATATCGCATTAACTGCCATTATGTGCACACCAAGTGAATCTGCATTGGTCTGCTCATTAGAGAACTAGTTGACAAATTTATTGGAATAATAATACGGCTACAGTGTGTTTATAGGGATAATCAGCCAACAGCATTTGATGGGTTTGTTTATACAGGATCTGTTTTCATCACTCCTGCAGCATATTGAAGATTGGAGCTATCAGATAACAGCTGTATCCGGGTCTGTGTTACAGGAGTGCTGACAGCACTCATCCTCTGTAGTTTTCCCTTGCACTGAGCCTAGTCTTGGCTCTGCTGGAAATGTATAAATAAAGTTGTAGGTTTGTATGTACAGGAGTGCTATTAATGCTCCTCCAAAAGGCTGGGTACCAGCAATTTCAGGTGCCCCTGTAAGGTGGTGCCTATAGGCAAATGCCCAGCCTGCTTTATGGTAAATCTGGCCATGACTATTTGCCTGGCTCTTATGTAATCCAAAGGTTTTCTGGGTGACTCAAAGCAAGGGATGGATAAAAGGGATATTCCATCTTTTGTTAAAAAAAAAAAATATATATATATATATATATATATATATATATAATTTTTGTTGATAATAACAATAATAATAATAACTGCATATTGAAAAAATTTAAAATGTGCATTTTTATATTTTTTGTGTTGGAGCCTGCAACCAAGATCAATGCCTTGCCATATGCAATGAACAGGCTCCTGCAGGCATATGGAGGTGAAGGACACAATCAATGAACTACAAGTGCAGTGACATCACCATGCTAGTCCTCCATTAAGAACTATGAGTCTCGCTGCCATTGTGGCAGATGGCATAGGCGTGCACATGGGGTGTGCCGGCTGTGCCTGGGCACACCCTAATCAACACATGCATACAGGGCTCTGCCACTGGCCCTGCACTTTCTGCTCACTAGTGTTATTGCTAAATACAGAAGCCCAGCTTCTCTACTTAGAAGTGACAGCACTCCTCTCTGAGTGGCTGAGTGGCTGCACCACTGAACCTGTAAACTGTTCACTCTGTACACTGTACACTGCACCCCTGAACCTTGCACTCTGTACACTGCTCACCCCTGAACTCTGTAAACTGTTCACCACAAACTCTGCACTCTGTACACTGTGCACCCCTGAACCTTGCACTCTGTACACTGCGCACCCCTGAACCTGAACTCTGTAAACTGTTCACCACAAACTCTGCACTCTGTACACTGTGCACCCCTGAACCTGAACCTTGCACTCTGTACACTGTGCACCCCTGAACCTTGCACTCTGTACACTGTGCACCCCTGAACCTTGCACTCTGTACACTGCTCACCCCTGAACTCTGTAAACTGTTCACCACAAACTCTGCACTCTGTACACTGTGCACCCCTGAACCTCTCTGTACACGTTCACCCCTGAACTCTGCACTCTGTACACTGCTGCACACCCACTCTGAACTCTGCACCCCTGAACTGTCTGTACACTGCTCACACCCCTGAACTCTGTAAACACTCTGCACTCTGTATGTGCTGCGTACCCCTGAACCTGCACTCTGTATGCTGCACTGCTGCACTCTGTACACTGCTCAAAACTCTGTAAACTGTTCACCACAAACTCTGCACTCTGTGCACCCCTGAACTCTGCACTCTGTACGCTGCACACCCCTGAATTCTGCACTCTGTACACTGCACACCCCTGAACCCTGCACTCTGTACACTGCACACCCCTGAACCCTGCACTCTGTACACTGCTCACCCCTGAACTCTGTAAACTGTTCATCACAACCTCTGCACTCTGTACACTGCACACCCCTGAACCCTGCACTCTGTACACTGCACACCCCTGAACCCTGCACTCTGTACACTGCTCACCCCTGCACTCTGTAAACTGTTCACCAACCTCTGCACTCTGTACACTGCACACCCCTGAACTGTAAACTGCTCACACCTGAACTCTGCACTCTGTACACTGCTCACCCCTGAACTCTGTAAACTGTACACCACAAACTCTGCACTCTGTACACTGAGCACCCCTGAACTCTGTAAACTGTTCACCACAAACTCTGCACTCTGTACACTGAGCACCCTGAACTCTGTAAACTGTACACCACAAACTCTGCACTCTGTACACTGCTCACCCCTGAACTCTGTAAACTGTTCACCACAAACTCTGCACTCTGTACACTGAGCACCCCTGAACTCTGTAAACTGTACACCACAAACTCTGCACTCTGTACACTGAGCACCCCTGAACTCTGTAAACTGTACCACAAACTCTGCACTCTGTACACTGCTCACCCCTGAACTCTGTAAACTGTTCACACAAACTCTGCACTCTGTACACTGAGCACCCCTCTGTAAACTGTTCACCACAAACTCTGCACTCTGTACACTGAGCACCCCTGAACTCTGTAAAACTGTTCACCACAAACTCTGCACTCTTTACACTGCACACCCCTGAACCCTGCACTCTGTACACTGAGCACCCCTGAACTCTGTAAACTGTACACCACAAACTCTGCACTCTTTACACTGCGCACCCCTGAACTCTGTACGTAGTGCACACCTGAACTGTGCACTGTGTATGTTGCGTACTTCTGATGCACTGTTTATGTTGTGTACTTCTGAAACCTGCACTCTGTATGTAGGGCACTCAAACCCATTCCATGAAGCTCTACGCACTGTTGTTGTGCTAATCTGAAGGCCACACCAAGTTTGGAGGTCTTTAGCTATTGACTCTGCAGACAGTTGGCGACTTCTGTGCACTGTGCGCTTCAGCATGCGCTGACCCTGCTCTGTCATGTGATGTGGCCTACCACTTGGTGACTGAGTCGCTGTTGTTCCCAGTTGCTTCCACTTTGTTATAATCCCACTAACAGTTGACTGTGGAATATTTAGTAGCCAGGAAATGTCA